CCCAAGCTGGTCCACGTGTCCGGGTCCCACCCAGGAGGGCCGCAACAGCACCATATCCGGGCCACGTCGCAACTTCAGGGCTCTTAGATCAATCCACCTACAAAGCAGCACACCAGCAGACGTGGTCCCATTCGGCGCTGCTTCCTACTCGACTTCGGCGTGAGAAGAGTACAGAAAGGTAGTGTTGGAAAAGTGCCTGCTTTCCAACGTGAGAATGCCTCACTGATACTGGGCCACTCTATGCGCAGCACACTGCCATGGAAGCCATTGACCGTAACTTTGCTCTGTGGCACACTTTTGCTTTACTTTGCTCTTCTTCTTCTTATTCTTCTTCTACAGGCTATGCGACACCCGAAGGTGTCGCGGAGGCGAACCTCCAGCCCCGCGGTCACAGGTCGGTAGCTGGGATGAGTGCTGCGTACGTTGGATCGTAGAACGCTCTCTCTTCTTCTTCTTCTTCTCACTGTGCTACCCGCGTTCTCTCTCTCTCTCTCTCTCTCTCTCCTCTCTCTCGCTTTGCGTTGCTTAGGGCTTGGTGGAATGATGGCTAGGCCCCCTGGACTGAAGGCCCTCCCCCATCCGTAAGGTCTCGAGGTCATGCGGGACTTTTTGATGCACTCAGAATCTTCAACCAAAATGCTCGCCAGGACCTGTATGAAAAGTCCGTTCCAAAATATCTGTTACAAAGAAGCCCTTCGAATCGCGCAACACAAACACTTCCCCCCATTGCTGCGCACTCTACAGCAAATACACAACAAAAACTGTTCACGTTGTTGGTCAGCGAATTTGTGAAGTAGAAGCTGATATCCACCCTGCGGAACCGTTGAGAAACATCATGTGTTCAGCAACTTCCGTTTTGTAAGTTATGTGCTTGGACTTCCGACAATGATCACAGCAAAGGCTGTTGTCCACGTTTGCTTGCTGTAATTTTCTGTTACACAGTTCATGAAATCTGGCCGACACATGCAGCGGGACCAAACGGTGAACCTGTGCAAAATCAAGTTGCTAGTTTGCAAGAGAGGCAAGGACACAAAAAAAAAATACCGCACAAGAGGTTCCAGAAAGAACTGCGCAAGTCCTTCTGTCAAGGGAAACTTGCACTCTATTTAAATCCAAACCTTCACACATCAACATGCGGGCATGCCTTAACGGAGCTGAGGGGATTGAAGTATTCGCACCTGTGGATGCAGCTGCATGTAAGAGCTCATGTGAGTGCAGCAGATCACTACAACAGAGTATTACGTCGTTGGCTTGCCAACAACTATGAACAATACACGTGTGGTAGCTTCTCCTTCGTTTGATTATTCACATGACAACTCAAAGCAGTCAAAAGCATATTCCCCAGCTGATAAGAGTAAAGGCACTTCACGTAGAGGTTGATGCCAGCGGGCGCCAGCTTGTTCACCTGGTCCACATCCACTTCCCGAAGCTGCGCATGTGGATCGTCTCGTGGCAGACTAGAAGCATTCACCATGGTTCACCGATTTCTGTTCTCAAACTGTGTGTCAAAAGGTGCCCTGCACCTGCAAGAGCCTTCCTCAAGTCAGCCGGGCGAGAAATGTTGTCAAAAATACTGGCATGAGTTTCTGCTACAACCCATTGCACATGTTTGGTGCTGGGTTGCCTTGATGACCGGCGTCTTCCCAATCGCGTCAGTGATGTTGTCGTACATGACACCTTGGATGCGTGTCAGCCCATACCGACTCTCCAAGAGAAAATCGAAGCACGTGTGGCTTTGGGAACCCCACGCCGCGGGACTGACATCGAGATGCCCCTGCAAAGAATGGGTCTGTCTCACAAGGCCGTACCACTCACGTCGATGACCCGCAAATGCTTTCCCAGAAGCACATGATGCATCAACCGAGACACAAACTGCAACATTAACTTTGCCCCCAAATAGCCACGCAAATCGCGTTTTTATCTTCCCTCCAAGGATAAGATTTCACCACACTGCACCCAGACAGCGAACCTCGTGAACATACAGGAAGCCCTGGCAAAGGCGGAGCACGTGCATGCACAACATGATCACCAAAGTCTCGCTTTAGTAATACTTCCATGTAAGCGCTTACAGGTGGAAAACGCTTACAAACAACCCGGAATCTGAAATCAACAAACCTTGTTCTAGCCCATGGACAATGGCAAACCCTAAACCCTAAACCGCGTCTGCGGTTACCAATGCAAGGTCAGGCCTGATTTTGATTTCACGAAACTGAAATGGGGTTGTTGTTTTGGGTTTTGACAGCTGACGATCACCATATGCATCCCAACAACTTGGAGTCTGAAACAAGATAGTAAACAAAAACTACAAAAGACGTTATACAAACCGGAAGGAGGAAGAAAACCTGTTACGATAGTCGTGCACAAAACATATTTGATCACAATTGTTGTTGCATTTGCTTTGCGCAACATCTCATGTACGCACGATCTGTTAATTACATGTGATGGCATGGTGAACCAGCAATTTTGTTCCACATATGGTGATGGCCAGCCTGCTCCCGATCATCTTGCCCACGACCTGCAAACAAGATTCCGACGATGTTTGCGAGCCTTCAAAACCTGTTTGATTTGCTGACGAACACGCGTTGAACACATTTGCCATCAAAAGCATGCAGCCCAAAACCCAATGTACTTGTGCTGCGGACCTGCAACGGGAAAACTTCACCACGTTACAGCCCTGGTGGTCTTTGAGCCAACGCAACTCCGGTAACGGGTGCCAAACGCACGTATTTGATCACATCTGGGAATGACGACAACATCTGGAACCCGGTCAAATTACACACCAGTCAAACCAGTCAAGGCGTGGACACAGATGCCCATGAAAAACTACGCCCTCCGTGCTGGTGGGGATGACAAAAGACATGGGCCTGCGGTCAAGAGATTCCCATGCCCACGCCCCAAAAGGCCGCAGCTTATGTGTATCTGACAGGGGCCTGGCTCTAGTGACTCTTGTGGTCCTACCCGCCCTTTGCCCGGCATGAAATATATTAACCAGACCGATTCTAACAACCTTCCACCACTGGATTCATGACGGTATTGATCATCCACGGAATGGTTGACCGCGAAAGAATTGATTTGTCTTAACATTATGTTCTTCCACAACTTGCAATCTGAAAATTGCGGTGACCCATATTGACACGTCTGCGGGTAACTGCGCGTTCAAATACCCATGCAACCAGGGCCAAGTTCTGAATGGAGTTACGTATGACTTATACCTTCAGTGCTTGACACAATATTCGACGAGATTTCGTCTGATTATTCCGTTGCCTATTTCTAAGCATTTCCCAAATATCATTCGGTATCAGTCTCAATAACATAAATAACATGTAACTCCAACTTGAGACAATCAATCAGAACGCGGCCGTTTTGTCTGGTTTGTTTTTATGGCGGAATCATAGTTGACTCAATCAGCGGAATCTATGTACACAAAATCAATGCCGTCAAAAATTCACGAAAGCCATTTATGAAGTTGCCAGAGTTCCAAAATCGCATCCATAATATTCATATTCACAAACGTGAATATGATAATCATCTGGTCACAAAAGTATTGCATTCTTTGAGCGAACTGTTTATATTCACCAAAGAGGGTGTGACAATCCTTAGGTCACAAAATGTTGCATACATCCAGTGAAATGGTCACAGTCAATA